TAATAAACTATTACATTTTCCCAAAGATTACATGCCGCACCTTCTGTCTTCCAAGAATATCAAATAGAGCGTCCCTTACCACAAAAGTCAAAGCTTTACCCACATTCGTCTTCACAACTACTCACCCATGTCTATTCTCAAATCTCAAGCATTATGATGATTCCATACTTGTATTGTGAGGGTCCCCTCATAAATATGTATAGAGGTTACATCATAAAAAAATGTTGCTCTAATCTAGAATGCCTACGAACCAAATACTTCCTGTATCTTTATCCAAAACAAAACAACTGATTTCACAACATAATATGGTTCCCACGTTGATACCCCTCTAACAAAAGTATGAAATGACAGTCCATCAGCAAAATATACAGCATGAGGATGCTCCCTGTCCTGGTCATCAAATAGGACTTGAAATATTCAACTTGATACTGATTCAACTTTTATACCAACATATGCAAATCTTAGAAACAATGATGATAATACTCCAAACAATAAAATGACTCCAACCAATATAATGACTATATATTTGTTCAATTTGAAATCAGTGGTAAAGGCTATTTGCTTTGTTTAAAGGTTGTACAGTGTATGGAACTGTATCATCTTGCATACATTCAAATATTTTGAAATCTTTTACTCACGCATCGTTTGCGATGTAGATTATAAAACAACGGGCTGAATCATATTGATTCACAGCACTCGCCATCGACTGGTTCTTGCGTCCGTCTGTATGTTTGGTGATCTTAGATCCACACGGTAGCTGATTCATCGCACAACACTTTTCTTCCTATATCAGATAAATCAGATTAACTGTATAATCCTCTGGATAAACTTTCATTACAAAACACTACTCCACATGTACGAGAGAAATGTAGAACCTTTTGCTAAAGAATCATAGTAGCACTCGGGAAGAGCAACCTCCTCATTATTAGTGCTGGGTAACGCTATTAGCTCTTCCCTCGTATGGACCCGGGGCAGAATAGGTCATGAGCGCCCCATTACTGGCCGTAAAAGGCAACCTGTTTGCCATGGGTGCGCCCCTGTGTTGGTGGAGGTAGGAATTCTGGTGGTTGAAGGCACTGGTTCCAGGAATAGTGTTCCAGTGCCCAACACATCACTTCCACCGTTACTTCACCAAGAAGGGTGGTAGAATGGGCCCGATTCTATCACTCGGCTGGACACGCCATGCCCTGAGTATGGGCAACTTGCATTTGACAGCTGTTGTTCATTGCAGTTCTATAAATCATTAATTACCAGTGACTTTCTTAGTCTGTTAAATCTGCCTAGCTTCCAATGCCAGAAGGCGGTGGCACGTGGGTTCATCTGGATAGACGGACCTCTGAAATATGTATTTCATGGGGAAACCAGCATGACATTTATTCTTAAAGTCATCACAGCTTTTTATGTCTTCATGTCTGGGGTATACCCACCCTGTAGCCCCGGTGATGTAGACTGGATTCCACTGTTACATCATTCATGTTGACACTCCATGGCGAGTGAGGAACAGAGGTGTTGAATCACATTACTTCAACCATGGCTCAAAATACTTCTTCTGGTTCACCATGGTGAGTGAGTGAGTTAACATTTAAAGTCATATCTGACTAAATCAAGTTATAGAATTATTATAATTAAAGGTAAATTATAAAACCTGTCAACGAATGACACAGATAAATTGTAAAACTAGTAATTTAATCTGAAACATTTTAACTAATTTATATTTGACAAGACAACATAAAAACAGGCTATAGATTGCCAACAACTGCAGTTAGATAACTATATTAGAGACCATGGGGACTTACAGAACATTTGCTATCTGCATGGATCCTAGCTGGATTTACACCATCCCTTCCACTGGTAGCGATGTATTTAGATAATTCTATTTCTTTAAAATAAAGAAATATTAAAAAATAATTTACATTATAAAATAAATCCTTAATTGTTTTGACTCTGGAATATTTATTACTTATGATTAGGTTCACCATGGAACAAACGTCGCCATGTTGATGGTTTATCATCTGACGAAGATGTCCTTACTAATGTCACAGATTCTTAGTCGAGCTTTATCATCATTGCACCTGATGGTGGGAAACCAGTAAAGCTCAATCCGTTTGGCATTGCTAAAGGCATGAAAGATCTCTGTGGTTAAGTGAAAAATCGTACACGTCTGTGATGTGGTTCTATCGTGCACGGACACAGCAATCAGATAATCTGCTGTCTTTGAAACAGTTTGTTAAACTTAAGTTGTTGTCTCGTAGCACAAGCCACTATCTCACGTTCTCAAAAGTGTTGTTATCTCCCTTTATCAAATATTTTAGAATGATCTCCCCTAAACGTTGTCTTCTTCCGGTTGGTAGTTTCATCAAAATGGCGGAGAAAAGTGACGTTAGCATTGTTGAGAGTGATGTAAAATTTGATTCAATGAACATGAAAGAACTTAGAACATACTTCAGAGACAGAAACCAGATGGTGACAGGGGATCACCTCATAGCCCGTGCAAAATGTGTGCATGCACTGAATTTACAGAAAAAAACTTCTGTAGTTGGACAATCTAACACTATTGGCACCCACCCTTAGCTGGGATTGAGCATCTATCGAACTGTGAACATTAAACCCATGAAAGCTATTCGTCAACTCAAGGCAGCGATATTTTATGAAGACCGGCACGTCTACAGCATAGCTGTTCACGGTATCTCTGACGACTGTGACCATCTGTTTGTGAGATGTTTAGTTATACCATCTCTACCAACAACAGATAAGAAGAGTAACCCGGACCATACGTCTGGGTCTGCCTGTCTAAAGTAACAGGCCATGTCAACTCTGCTTACTGTACCTGTGCACATTAAAATACATTCGTCGTTTGTTTTGTTTTTTGTGTTTTACATCTTGGGTTAAATCTAAATATATATCTTGAGGAAAGATTATGAATAATTTATTCGTTTTTTAAATTCAATTTCGGATCTATCAATGTAATAAATATTGGCATTACATAACTTTAAATAGATCTCCTGGAAATGGACGTGGATAAGGAGAAGCATATTACATGCAAATAATTTTTGATGATAATCTGTTTATTCATTGTGTATTATTGTCTAAAGGTATGCAGTTATCATTATATAATATATATCTTATTAGTGTTCACTGATGAATGTAATGGTCACGATGAGTAATATGAGTCAATTAAACACTGAATGCAGAAACTTAATTACTCGTATTCTTTTACAGAGCTGGAGCAGCCTGCAACCATGTCTCTGCTCTGATCTATGCCTTGGTGGATATATCACAGGAGAAGGAAGCAGGACAACTCTCGTATATCTGTACTAAATGTAAATGGATAAGTAGTATACACAATGGTGGTACGGGACCAGGTCCCGCCAAGGGCTCAATTAAAAGAATTGAGCCCTTGGGAAGTCCCTATTCCCGTACCACAATTGTGTATACTACTACTGATGTTTTCATGAAAATAGGTCAAATAGTTTCTGAAATATTGACTTTTACTTTATAATCTTCGACGAAAATAGCGGTTTTGCCGATACATTTCTAGTGTTTACGAATTATTTTAATGAAAGCACATTCATAGAATTGCACTTTATTTCATACAGATTTAATACAGAAAACATACGTGACTATACAAACATACATATACAAAATGTATACTACATATTCCTTGCATACACATAAAACAAAGAGTCACGTCATAGGGCGTCATCAAATTTCCCGAATAGAACGTTCGGTATCTCAACTGTTCAATGTAGTGGCTGGTCATATGTTATCTGCGACCCATCATATCATGAGATACCTGTCACAGAGGAAAGGACAGGTGATGGGGCGTGGGCGAAATTTCTGAAGAGCACGTTTGGTCACTCAGCAGCTTGGATAGAGATTGGTTATTGGCTATATCCTTGACCAGTCAATATGCTGGGTTTCGGCTTTATCAACTCAACCTTTCATGTAACAGTTTGTGTATTGTAAACATACACACTGGTAACGATGCATGAAATACACACATAAGACAAACAGGAGTAGATAGTCACTTTGGCGAGTTTATTTGTCCTCATTTTAGTGTTTTTCGATAAGTAAAACAAAGCGATTGAAATCCAACCACTGAGTAGAGGTAGTATTTATTTTCATATACATTTTATGCACACAACTAGTACAAAAAACATAATGGTTTGCTGTACATGTAACTATAACCTTCACCTTGATACGAATGGCTATCCAAACTAGAGTACACACATTACAGAATTCACGAGGTGACACTATACTGAATTATTTTAGTGTATAAACTTACAGTTGACACCCCCAACCCCAATATTTATGAAGGTGGGCGTGCCTATATCTTTACTGAATGCAAACGAGGTTCATAAGATTACACATGTGCTTGCATGTATAAACATCACAGACAGGGGCGTGACTCCATAAAGCAAGATGTCCAATGATATAACAGCGCATCTGTTTATTTTGCACTTGTCACGGGACAAACCTTTCAACAAGGACGTAACTACATATGCATTCTACCGGAGGCTGTTATTTCAAGGTCGAAAGAGGCTTTCAATTATCTCATTACTGTAATCTGCTTGAATGAATATACGCATGTGTATCGATACCGTAACTGATATACTATCCAGCTTTTATTGACGATAGATCAATGGAGACTGAGTTGATTGATACACGTCATAATTGCACCCGATTTGATAATTACACAGATCAAATACAAACGTTTTACAGAATGCTCATGTAAATTGCATAGAAAACTGACAATTCAGATCAACATGAACTTTTCAACAGCTTGAACACAAATGCTTGACATACCTTTGTATGGCTTACATGTTATAACTTATGATATTATTTCTGTCCATGTGTGACAATGTTTTGAATTACCAACTTACTGTCTTTTGTAAGAAACGTAGTAAAAGATTTCATTGCTGTAATAACACTGACATGTATATATGTATTCGATGTAAAGGTGCGACTTATCACTTTATATTCGCCTAGGTAAGGTGCGTTCTCACGGTGCGACTTGTAGTAACAACTTGTAGCATACGACTTGTAGTAACAACAAAGATCGTAACGACTTTGCTATTTGTGTACTTTTTAAGTCGTATACAACTCGTATCTCGCGAGATTCTCACGTATGACTCAGCAACATGGATTCGTCGAGTGAAGAAGAAACGCTAGCCATGATAATGTCAGTCTACATATCGCAGTCGGTAAAAAAAGAAGAGAAAGCCTAAATCGGTGTGGGTCCGTAACTGGATTCTTAGGCGGAACACGGCTGGAGCGTATAATTCGCTTCTTCGAGAGCTTGAACAGGAAGATCCAAGGTCACTGAAGAATTTTCTCCGTATGGACAAGGTGAATTTTGACATTTTGTTGGAGAAAAATTCTCCATACATCGAGAAGAAGTGTACCCCCATGAGAAACAGTATTCCTGTTGGAGAGAAACTGGCACTCACCTTACGATATTTAGCAAGCGGTAAGTTATGTGGTGTGTAAATGAAGCACAGATACTGCCGTTTCATTTCGCAAAGAATCCAAACTATTCTGTTAGGTTTCAAGTACGTATCAGTACAAAATATTATCAAAATACACGGCAATTGCTACTTCCGCGTGTTGACCACCTTGAACTAAGGAAAAAGCACTCTGCATCAAGTATGAAGGGGGATAATCAGTAAATGTTCTTGAGTGCGCGAAGCATCATAAAATGAGTGTCATTAGTGAAACTCAAATGAAATTATTCAAATGAGTACAAGAAATGGGATATAAATTTACCAAATGTAAATATAAATTGAAACTTTTATGTAAATGTTCATGCAAACGAAAGCGTTTAATGTTGGGAATGGGGTTTTGAAATATTACTTTTTCACCCACAGGTGACAGTTACAGCTCCCTTGAGTTCCTGTACCGGGTGCCAAGAATACCATCTGTAACTTTGTTCCTTGTGTCTGTAAAGCCATCTATGATGTACTTCAAAAAGACTACTTGCAGGTACCACATTCTTCACAAATCAATAAAACGAACAAACACCAATTTTTAATAAAATACTTTAAAATTTGTTGAACAGTTTTAGATATCTTCTTGAAAATCAGTGCATAAACCACACTTAAGAATTTGTCAGTGATGAATGTAAGTTTAAAATAGGTTTCAACTATGTAAAACAAATCATATAGACATAAAACAGACAAGGATTACATGATACATGAATGTTTATTATTTGATGGAAGTATTTTAAACATATAAATAGGCGGAAACATCTATTTACAGCTAAAGAGAACTATATTTTACATATGTTACGGAATGTTCATAATTTTTGGCTGGGGGCGGTGATGATGATTTTTATGGAGAAGTATAATGTGAATGACACCCCCCTGGAATTTATGTACAAAGTAAGTGATCCCCTGCATGTCATGTACAAAATCAATTACCCCCACCTCCCCCTTCCTTATTTATAAAGCATAACATTTTAATATTTCTATGTACAAAATTGCTGACACCCCCCTTAAGTCATTTGATATTTAGGCCTCATTTTCAAACTGATTTTCCAAAATCAGTGAATAGATTTTCAGTTTCAGTTCTTGTCTCTTTCTTAGGTTTTCAATTTTTTAAGCTCGAGCCCAACCTGCTGACCAAACAAAATGTCACAATCATTTGTGTCACTTTTGGCTTTCTTTTGGGATATCCTTTCCAATGTCCTGTACATTAGATTTTTTAATTCAGGACTGCCTGTTGCTTGATTCCTCCTCTTCTTGGGGTGTGGTTTAGCCTTGTCTGGTTTTTGAACAGGCATAGATTCTGCATAACCACTGCAGTGTGATGTCTGAAAAATATGTTGTCAGGAGTTAGTTCTATGAAAACAAGTCATATACAATCTTTTACATGCTTGACAAAATGTTAAACATTATACGTTTATATATGTTTAATTGAGTTAAACAAGACAATGATATACATGATTTGATAATATTATTTTCAGGTTCCTACTACTGAACGTGACTGGCACAACATTCAGGAAGAATTCATGGCAAAGTGGCAGTTCCCCCCACTGCATTGGTGCAATTGATGGCAAGCATATTGCAATTCGGGCACCCAACAATACAGGATCTGAATTCTTCAACTACAAGAAATTTTTCAGTATCATCCTATTGGCATTGGTGGATGCCAATTGCAAATTTATATTTGTAGATGTGGGAGCCAATGGCAGAGCTGGAGATGCAGCAGTGTATGCTAATTCCCAGCTTTCCTATGCACTACAGCATAACACATTAAATATTCCACAACCAACTCCCTTGGAGGGCCGACATGAACTAGTGCCGAGCGTTGTTGTGGGAGATGATGCCTTCCAACTAAAGCCACACTTGATGAAGCCTTATCCTATGAGGGATTTATCTTATGAGAAAAGAATATTTAATTACAGGCTGTCAAGAGCAAGGAGAGTATCTGAAAATGCATTTGGCCTTCTGGTCAACAGATTCTGCATCTTTCAAAAACCTCTACAAGTATCACCAGAAGTTGCCAGTTCAGTTGTCTTGGCAAGTGTTGCATTACATAACTTTCTCAAATCAAACTCTGACCCAGTCTATAACACTAATGATGCAGCTAATGTACACAGTGTTATCCGTGGTTTCATACAGCAGGGAGGGAACAGAAATGCCAGCAATGCAAGAGAAGTGCGAGATGAGCTGGCTGATTATTTTATGACAGAAGGTCAAGTTGATTGGCAGTGGGATATGGTGGTATAAACTCTGAAAAGTGACATTACTTATGTGAAATGTAAAATGTGGAAGGACTGAATTTATGTATACATATAATAAGTATTCACAGATGACAAATCAGTGACTCAGGAACTGTAATTTTAGATAGCAATTACTAACTTCTTGACTGCAGCCATTGTCAGTGGAATCCATGGTGCACTCAATGCTCCCTGTACATTCATTGTCATCAGTAATAGTGATGGGTGCTGCAGAAATTGGTTCCCTCATCTGAAAGAAATGTACATTTTATTAACTAACACAAATGGGTATTTGACAACATGATGGTACATGTTATCATTCATGAATATGTGACAGACCATATACTTAAATCATTGTTTGTACTTTGCAAGGAATAATACAACTGAAACTCAAATGTCATTTCATGTCTTGTCTCTTATTTATATTCTTTTTCAATTGGTGATGTAAAATCACATCTCAGCAGAATCACCACATGAATCAATAAAAGAAATATACCAACCTCCTTTATTCACAAAATTAGCCAATGCAGTAATTGCTACCTTCACTCCAAATGAAATAAATCAAACATTAGAAACAGAAATTTATAAGCACCATAATTTTATATTGTAATTTTTAAATGTTTTATTGCACAGTTTGACGCTATTATTAATATGAAAAAGAGTTCGCTAGATAAAATCCTTTCTGCATGCATCCCATATTCCATAATAACTGACGGAGATAGCATCATTACTGACAATTACCAGATTGTTAGTAGAAGGCCTCTGCTGTACATGGCATCTCAAGAAGGGGTCCAGGACTGTGAAAAACTCCCACGATGAATGGTACAGGTCATCCACCCCTGCACCACTTTTCTCCGACTGGGTGATTTTTCTTAGTTCCCGGCCATAATAAGTCCGTAGACTTGCGATTTTTGCCGCAACTTGTTCCACTGAAACACACAGTAGCAGAGATGAAGCAGGTGAAAATTACTGCCATAACTTGCTAATTATAATGTCTTTACGACTTTAGTCGCGGAGAAAATATACGACTAGCGTGTAAATAATAGACAAATGTCGTCTGCTAGTGACCGAAGAGGAACTCACCTGTCATTTCTCTCCCGTGGCAGTACATCTGTTCCGCGATCATTGACTGTGCGGCGAGTCTGTTGTCCCTTTTGGAATATGTGGCATGTTGAACATTCCATAGGCATTCCTGGGACAAGTAGAAACCTATAAACCGCTCGGTTTCTTCCCTGGTGAGGTCGATCTTTTTCTGGCGTGGCTCCGACATGATGTCAACATAAACAAAGGGGACGTCACTCTGAGGTGGACACAGATCTCAGCGATTTGATTGGTCGAGAGCTTGCGACTTGTAGTAGGAATTAGGACAAGTCCTATGTCTTTCAACTCGGTTGCAACTAGTTGTATGCGATTTCAAATCGTTACGACTTTGGTGTTCTCACGTTGCAACTGTGTTGCATGCTACAAGTTGTTACTACAAGTCGCACCGTGAGAACGCACCTTAAGAGGTGCTTTCTGTTGACGACTGTATGTGGCTCTCGCTGTGAGAAACTGCTAATTACCTGCCCCATAAACACGTCACTCGCTGTGAGCTGATTAATTTGCCCCATATATGCGTCTCTCGGCCTTAATGAGTTTGAGCATGGGGTCGGTCGGACAAAAGGCTCGGTCTACGGGTGGATGGCTTGCTGGCTACATTAAGCAGAAAAATAAGCATGCAAGACTGATAAAAAATCATGACGAGAAACTATCATCACATTGTGGGTAATGTGTAAGGGACTGTGTCGTGAGGTACGATCATCAACTCCTCTCAGACAAATGCTCTCGGCGGTCAGTCTTTCAAGTAGTACAATCCTGCGAGTATTGGTGCGAGAACAGGCTGTCGGCTAGGGTGCGATTGAATCTCTCAACGATGGCTTGGCTATGGTGAGCTCCTGCTATACCTCGTCTCACTTGGACTTTGTTCTTGGCCAGCAGCTGTGACACGGCTCCCATGAACTCGCGTCCGGGTTCGACTTGCAATATGGTAGGCCATGTCAAGCGACTGTGTTTGTATATGCCTTCAAAGGCTTTGGCGACTTCGTTCGAATCTTCGTTGTCAATGGCTCTGCTTCCTTGTAGCGACTGGCGACGTCGACGATGGTCAGGGCGTACTTGCAGGTTTTGCGTCTCACCCTGTCGAGAGGGAGAAACCGGAGGTTGGCTTGATGGACGCGATTAGGTGTGGAAATGTCAAATTTTCTTCTCGGGATGTATCAATGCGCCAGTAGTTAGACTTGGCAGATGGCTTGTTTTTTTAAGCCAAGCTTTGGCGACGTCTTCCGAGACTCGAGCTGCTTTGGCGAGTTTCGGGATGGCGTCCGCGCCTATCCAGTACCCGTGCGGGCTGTAATAAATTTTGTCCATGATGTATGTACTCATGTGTGTGTAAGCCTTCAATTAGTCGATACGCGTTTGTGTCCGTACAAGTAAGTGGTGACTCCGTCGATGCCGATCCATCGTTTCGTGTCCATGGGAAACAACGACGTCTTGTTGATTCTAAGTCCGTATATCCTGTGTCCGTTTTTTTCAGCATATTCATATGGTGTTATATTATTGAACAGGGCTTCCTTGAATCTGGCGTGGTTGATATGTTTTTTCACCACATATTTTCGGCGGCAGATTTCGGCGGCGGCTTTTTTGATGGAATACATCTTGGATTCGCAAGCCGACATACTCGAGGATTGGCGTGCCCGCGCATTCGTACTTCATCTTGCCGAGCACTTTTTTGTTGACTTGGCTGTGCATAGGGTGATCTTTGGGGTAGTCGCTGGTGTCATACAGGTGCATGTGTTTCTTCGTGTCCTCGTACACGTCCTCGGTGTGAATTCCATGAGCAGGGAATCCGTGTCTGTGTACAGCACTTCGCACCTGTCACCGTACTGTTTTTTCAGCTCGTTGTAGTAGAAATCGTACATCAAGTTATTGGATAAGTCGTGGATGATCATCCCCATGTAAACGGGCTGGTTGAATATGATGTGGTTTTTGTTCATGTGCATCTGCCGTTGTTTGGGTTGAACGGCTGACGGCTGACTATAAGTTTCCTGAGTTTTTTTCCTCGCTGGATCTGATAAATTTCACGTTAACGAGTTTTCTCAAATTCTCCATCGTCTTGCCGAACACCGAGATTTTCATGTGTTTGTACAAGTTTTTCTCGAAATCGCTGGTGGCCAGCTTTTGCAAGTCCGTGTTCAATCGGATGTAAGGCTCCATCCACAGACTTTGATTGAACTTGATTACTCTGTGTATTTTTGTGACTTTCATTCCCAGATTGCGATAGTGAACGACGTATTTAGACTTGTTCATTAAATTCAGCACAAACTTTTCAACGTTAGCCGGGTTATTGTTTCCCAGCTAGTTGATATTTCGTTGATATTCGGACATCCAGTCCGGGTTCACTGTCAATCGTTCGGGAGCTAGCGGATAGCTGTTGTGTGATTCATGTAGTTCTGCGGGATAGTCCAAGTCCGCTTCGAGCATGTAGCCTTTGTTCGAATCCGGTGCGATGCTATTCACGTCAATCATCTCGGGCGAGGAGACCCATTCGAATCCCCCGGTTGGGAGATACAGACTCATGGCCCAGACGTACAGGTTGTTAGCGTCGAGATAGAGTATGCGTTTGGTCGGTTAACATGGGTCATGACCTTCTACATACTTGTTGTTGGCTTTCACGTATCGTTTGGAGGCCATGGAAATCCCACCTCGCAAGCTTTTTTTCCATGAACAGGTGCATGTCGTAATCCGTCAGTAGTTTCAGCTCCACACCGGTCTTTTTCAACAAGGCATCCCAAGAGAAACTTGGGGATGAGAAATACCACGCGGGGTCCAGGCCGTACTGTTTTGAGCACGTTTTTCTGAATATCTCGAACACGTGGGCCAGCAGCAGCACATCCGTTTTCAAGTACAGGTCATGGTAATCGCCCAAATTCTTGGAGCCCAGTTTGTCCCAAACGTTAATCGCGTGCACGTAATCATCCTGGGAGATATTGGAATTGGTCAAGTTGCTGTAAAAGCGGTTGATTGGAGGTAATCGCGTCTCGTCTAACCTTGACCAATCGTCCATGTATTCATAGGGGTAGACAACCTTCCTCAGCAGCAGAGGTCGAGTCTCGGCGTCGGTGTATCGATTGGTGATGTAGAAGTCGTCCGGGTCGTTGGTGTTCACCAGACTGTCTAGAGACGACAGTATGAACTGAACGCTATCAATAAATCTCAGACCATCTAACGAAAACGATATGTATTTTTCCATGTTGTTGGGGATGCACGTTATTTTGCCGTCGTCCTTCACGATGGCCTGCATGATCATGTGGGAATTGTACCCGCAAATGTTGTGAAACACGACAGGGATTTTGATGATCTTGGGATCGAGTTTGAGCTTCAGGTTGCACGCGTTGTGAGCGGTGCCTCTGTACTTGCAATTGACGTGGCAGTGATCTCTCATAGAATCCCCGCACAGGGGTTGGTCGCACACATGGCAATTCTGAGCCTTCTTGTGAGTTCGCCAGTCGTACTTCGTCATGTGCATGGGGACGATGGTGTACAGCTTTTTCCTAATGGATTTCTCTTTGTGGCCACGTCAGGACCTCAGTAGACCACTGAAGTGTTTGTTTGTCCGTCGCATCAAAAGACCACGTAACTGAACCTGCAAGCTTTGTGCTCTTGCGTTTTGTTCATGAAACTTTTGTCCGGGTACGACAGAGCGACGGTGTCGACGTTTTTGATGAGGGCTTTGAAGTCGGCGTAGATGACGTAAGGCACTGACATTTGATGCTTGTGGTTGACGAATTTCAAGACGTTGTCGTTTTCGTCGGGCATGTCGATTCGGACGGCCGTCTGACTCACGCCTCGGCAATCCTCCAGGTGCAATTCCAGCACATCAGCTCGTGTGAAGCCATGGAGGCACCATTCTCAAAAGTGTTTTTTCCCCTCGTGCTTCGATTGATCGTACAACAGTCTGCTGAGACTTTTAATCATTGCGTAGTGATACTTGTCCTCTTTTTCGATCAGAAATAAATTGATCCTTCACACGGTTTTATCTAGGACGGGGCTTATCCTGTGCTCAATAGTTGTGTTCCCTTTGTGTCTGAAGACGTTAATAGCCTCGATGTAGGGATAGATGGAAAGTCTGTCTGTATGATGGGTAGCCTGATGCAAGTGGGCTGTGATCGACACCAGTAAACAGTTGTGGTCTTTGTGGTTCACGTTTACTATGGCTTGCTTTTTCTTGTAGTACGGTGGCAAGTCTAGGTACGACCCTCCTTTGAACGGCACGTAGTTCGCTACATCCAGGTAGACCGTATCTATCGTATCCACGACCGAGCCCAAGCCCATGTGCGTGTAGCATTCCAGGGATTATCATATTTTTGCAAACGACGTGTCAATGGAAACGTCGATGGATTTGGTCTGAGTTGCGACTTCTTGCTTGCCTCTGAAGTAAGGCTAGATGTGATTGGGCCGTCCGTCTGCTGTTTTTCCAGTGACATTCTCACCGTGAGTTGAAATTTGAGGCTTCCCAGATTGTTCAGTTCCTCGCCGACTTTGTCGGCGATCAGGGGTTTGATGTTGTCGACGTCCATGTCTTGGTCGACGTCCATCCTCCAGCCTCTCAGATAGTTCCGGCGTGCTTCATCCATGCGAACCGTAGTTCGACGGGTTTGTGTTCCTCCAGCAGTTCGAGGAGCTCGGCTTTCCTCAAGCGCAAATAACCTCTGAGCCCATGTTCTTTTGCTCGGAGCTTGAGTTGTTTCACCATGGATTCGTCTTTCATGCCAAGCAATTTCAGCAGCAGAGGTTTTTTCAAAAGGGAGTAATGATCACTCCGCGTTCTTTGGCACTCCTTTTCAGTTCTCAAACAGTTGGCATTGTTGCTATATCCAGATGCGAATTCAAATCTCTAATAGTCTTTTTCCACATGTGAAGTCAAATCTCTAGTACGATTTTTTTCGTTCGTTGCTATATCAATGTGTGAAAACTTTCTTAAAATTAATAATAATTATATTCAGACGCGAAGTCAAATCTCTAATAGTTTTTTTTCACTATGTTCAGATGTGAAGTCAAAGCTCTAATAGGTTTTTCGTTATAGTAAGGTGCGAAGTCAAATCTCGAATAGGGTTTTCGTTATAGTCAGGTGCAAAGTAAATCTCTAATAGGTTGTTCGCTAACTCTGTCAGCCTTCCCACATTTCTATTTCTATTCTATTCTTCATTGAGATAGTCTCTTTTCGTCAAGTACATGAGATGGCCTCGTACCACGTCTGCTCCGTGGGCTTTGCAATGACGATAATGGCATTTCACGCCAACGCCACAAATTTCGCATGTGTAATTCACGAAACCCTTTCGTATGGACGTCATGTGTATGCTGCAATATTCGGTGGTGCATTTCTTGCTGCAGGTTTCGGTTTTTCCTAGGAGCACCTACTTGCAGTTATACGATGCACGCCTTCCCATCTTTATGTATACACA